GTTTGCATTTAGAACAGAAGACAAGTTACGGATGAGAGGAGGCGATTTGGCCCATTCAGCCCGTTCGGTAGTTAGTACTTAATTTATCCAAGGATCTCATCCTGCCTATTCTTAAAAGAAACAAGATTACTGGCTTCAACAACATGGGCAGGTGGCTCCATACACAACAATGAAAAGAACTGCCTCGCGTTTGCAGTTTTAAATGTACTTTCACATTGTTTCCAGTTGCTCCATCTGGCTCATGCTGTCCTGTTCATTCTCAATGTAACTGTTGAAAACGTCTGTAGGTTCTCTACAGTAGCTTTAGTTTGATCATATTGCTGTTGATGTAAGAGAGAAGCATTTAGTATTATGATGTCCATTTTGGTGGCTCTTGACAGTTCTTTCAAGAAATCGTTTTGAAGTTTGTGTTTCTTTCATGATTTGTAAACAACAGATGGATGTGTCTCCACTAACTCTGCTGCTTTAGGTTCAGTATTGTTGTTTTCTGTATTTAACAGTTTTGATGGCAGCACACTAGTGAGTTATATTTTGATTTTGATTCAGAGTGATTTTTAGCTCCCTGGTTCTAGGTTGTGTTCCAGCTCCGGGCTTCTGTCTGTGGGGAGTTTACATGTTCGCAGCAGTTAGGGGACGGTCATCTGGTTTCTGTCTGCTTCCCAGAGACATGCTGGCAAGGTTTAATTGGTTCTTCTGAAATTATCTCTTTATCCATGGCTTTGTGCCCCTTGCTCCTTGCTCCAGGGCAAGACTTTGACCTATGACACCCCCCCTCCCCATCTTGCAAATATTGGAAGGAATTTAAATCAATGGGTGTTAATTTTCTCTACTGCACAAGAAAGGCCTCATTTTAAATGTTGTGCACAATTATGGTCACCACATTACAAAAAAAAATAATTGCTACACTGGAATCAACATGAAGTAGAACTGTAAGACATTACAGGATTTAAAACGATGTCCTACACTTGTGTGAGGGTAAAAGGGTATGTTTTTAGTGTTTTAAGACTAAAGGAAGAACTGATTCAAGTACTTTAAATCCAAAAGGCAGTCACAAGGGGAAGGCCAGTTGCCTTCTTCGGAATTTGCATTGAAAGAGCATTTAAACCTGGAGGCTCTTTACAAAAAGCATTGTGGAAGTAGGGATCGAACTACTGTACCCAGTCATGTTGTTTAAACTGATACCCTGGTTTCCTTCAGAACATATCTGGATGAGATCTTTGGGTCAAATAGTTAATAACTGAGACAATCTAGTTTGTAACTATTATTATCTTATTAAAATACTGTATATAGACCACATGTTAATTGAAATCCAGAACATGCATAGTATGTAGGCTAAATGTTGCTTAAGGGTTTCTTTAATAGATGTTAGATAGGGTGACCACATTAAAGCTAGTGAAGTATTTAACAGGTAGTTAATGTAGCTTTTATTGTAAATTTAAATTAGTCCACAAAATCAAAGGATTTTACAGTTTGCTCTTGAGTTTCAGTGAAATCAGTCTTTGTTTAGAACTTTCATTCAAATTAATCCTGTTGGTGCTGTGAAATCAAGTCCCTACATGGTTTTGAAGATATAGGGCTCACTTCTACTCATTTTACTTGAAATTGAATTAATGGCCACCTGTGACACCCCAGTATTTCTGTATTAAAACGCCTTCAGCAATGGTGTTGTGCCTGTGTTCTGTCTTACGATGGAGGAAATCTTTTTTCTCTTTATTTAGTGTTTACCGTTTGGATCAAGCCTGTTCCTTAACACTTTCACGTTGGCTTTTACATTAAATCTTTTCTTAGGTTCTTTCTTTATGCATTGGGAATTAGTTCAAATTAATGAAAATGTCCTCAGATGTTTGTAATGTCTTATTTCATGTGGTTCCTAATACCTCCACTTGCATGTATCTAGTTAGAGTCTTTTGAGTAATTTGCGCCAGGGGCTTGTCTTTAACTTGAAGGCAGTCTATCCCTAAAATGTCTCTTAGGACCTGTTAACCACATGCAGATTCCAGCCATTCCTCTACCGAACAGCGTCAGTTTTCGATAGGAACTATAGGAGTCTTGGTTTATACACTACAAACTTGTTTTATATTTATTAAGGAGCAACATAATCAGTATTGATGCAGTAAAGTCCACACAAAGTGCAGATGGTCATTTCATCATCCATCGCCCTATAATTTATCTTCACATGAGTGAAGTGAAACCAGCTGTCACAGGGCAGTGTAAAGGACCCCCGCAGTACTGTGCAGCAGGATTGACCAAGGCGAGGTTTAAAGCTTTTATTGCCTTCATTAGGGGAGCAGACAGACAAACCAGTGCTCCGGGCAGCTTGACATTTTCGTCCATGAAAAGGGAAAAAGGTGACTGACGCTTCCCTTACCGCACGTACAATACCTCAGGGTCTTGCATTACACACATACAGTACGTGATCAGCTTCATTTTAGCAAGGATGTGGTTTCCAGGAGAAATAACTGTCTGTCTTTATTTAGTGTGCTTCAGTTGTGAAATGCATACCTCAGGTAGAATGCTGAGTTGGGTAAAAATATTGAGAGGCATTAAAACAACTGCAACGGTTTTTGGTTTCAGTACTAATTTGTTGTATTTGTAATGCATGCTTCTAAGTGTGCATGTAGTATATCTAACCTTTTCAAAGCATCCAGACCTTCTGTCGTAAAGAAAGCAGGCTGCTAGGGTTTTCTGCTTGATCAGCACTGACAGTGGCTCAGGAGAGCCTGTGAAATACGTATGGGAAGGAAGGTGGTGCTTCTTTCTGAACAACCTGCCAAGTATAACAAATTGCATTTAATTGGTGTTTAGTCCACTTCAGTGCAGTGGAAAGATTAGCATTAGTATACGTCCAGAGCTGTGCTGTTTATATTTTAGGGAAAAAACTGAAATGATGGTGTGTGTATCTGTTTTTCAGTGATTTTTTTGGAGAAAGGGAATGTGACGTGTGCTCTCCTCTGCTGGTAAGGGTAATCAGGCCCAAGGGGAAGATGTGTGGTGCAGAGATAGAGAGAAGAACAAACTGAAAATGGAGGCAGGCATGTGAAAATTTTGATGCCGGTTAAAGGTGCCTATTCTAGTTCCTAGTCTGGTTCATTTCTATATTGTGAATTATGTTTGTTATAGAATAGAGGAGCATTCTCTTGCCAAGGAGGGGGTATTAGTTTATTAAATTGATAAAATTTTAAATATCACACCCTGTAATTGTGCTTATGAGGAAGTCCTTTGAGATAATTATATCAGTTACACTGGTTGGGGGATTTGGGCCCTGCCGAAGATAATCTGACTTGCTGTGGTCAGCTTTTATCCTGGAGATGTGAGTTAAGACCTCTTTTCTCTCTCTGTATGCCTGACACATCTCGCATCCTGCCCTTATCGTTCTGTAACACTTCACTGGGTAACATATTTGTACTGTCCCGTGTATCTGTAACTCTGAAGGCATCATATGACGTAACCCAGTCCCATTCCACCAGCTTACAGGAAGATGATGGTCCTTAATCATTCAGTCCTTCTCACTACCTGTAGAAACAAAACTCTTGCACTTGCTTAGTCAATTCCGTACTTGATTAAATTCTCATCTTAAATTGTCAAGGGGAAAACAGGGGTGAAATGCAATGTCATTGTGGTAGCCTGTGTGCTTATCAACACATGGAGAGGGTGAATGGTAGTGACAGAGAAAAGTATGTTGAACAGGTTGATTTGGACTAATCTATGACTTGTTCAGTGTCCTCTCTTCTTACTGTTATTGCAAGGCTCTAGGTCCAAAATCTTAGCCTTTCAGTGTCTGTCCTGAAACTTGAGCACAGAAGGCGACTTGAGCACAGTGTTGCCTTCAGCTAAGTTTTCAAAGCTTTTTGCACCACTGAACATTTTCATAAAAGTATAGAAGATACCAGTCAAGTGTGGGAATAATAAGACATGGAAAACAAAATGAATCAAAATAGTTTTTCTCTTTTAGATTTTAAAAGTTTGGTGTTTAAACTGGGATCTGTTTTGATAGAGAAAAATGAGAGCAAAGTTTGCACTGGGGCTTTGAAAATGTCTATCTACTTTTTTTTGTAGTTATTTGTGCTGTTCCATTAACTACGATAGAATAAAACTTGAACCCCTTGGACACTAACCCACTATGGGAATATTAGAGAAACATGAGCAAAAAATAAATTAACCGAGAAAATTTCAAGCTACTCTTTGAGATTGATTGAGTAGATTGAGAAAATATACTAAATGGGTTTCTCATTCTGAAAGTCAAAAATTATAAATAATTTGACTAAATTTTGTGGCTTTGAGTAATGCCTGTATGAATAATTTGTAGTGGGTGATATCTTTGAATTTCATATTAAGGATTGAAGGAATTGTGAAATATTTGCAAGTAGTAAGCCATATGTTTGATCTTGGCACGTGGCCTAACAAGGAAGCAGACTGTTTCCTATCACAGTTTTCAAAGAAAAGTCAGTAGGACCTTTGTTTGTATAACTGTCTGGCAATCAGACCTGCTTATTTCTAAACAAATGCATGTTAATAATAAAGAAACATAAAATCAATAATTGGCACATTACTTAGGCAAGGCATCCAGAATTGCAGGAAAGAAGAGATGAATACAGGTAATGTAGTATAAAGACATGTTCAGTTGCCCTGAATTTGCCCAATTTATTTCATTGGTTGGATGGTAGGTATTAAAAAAATGAAATGTACCTCTTATGAATAAGAGTGTTCATCTTTGATTTCAGCTGGATGTAGTTGAGTTAAGAGTTTAACCTTGAGGTAAAAATGAAACCCAGTATCCTGAAAAATAGCATCTTAAACATTCAGTACAAGAATACACCATCATAGATCTGTTTGTTAATAATTGTTTTGGAACAATCCATGTGGCTTAAGATGAAAGCTAACAACTGTCATGATTGCACTTTGAGGGCTCTCATGAATCCGTTGGTTGATAGATGTCTTCTGAAGTGTGTTGTTATGGTGATTGGAGTGTGTTCTTTGAAAACAATGTTTCTTCTTTCCAGGAGGCATGCTTGTGTGAAAGGTGTCAGCGGTGGGATTTATCGAGCTCCACCCTTACTGTCCATACATTCACCACTCTACAGGCTTCTGCAGTACAGGTATGGTCAATTACTGATGTTAATTTAAGAAGTTTCAGTCCTGCAAAAAGGGGAGTTTCTTGCTCTGACAACAACAGTACTAATACCAATGCTTAATCTACATATCCAGTTGAAAATGAGGCTGGGTGCTTTCCAATTCTTGGTGCAGTCTGCTTTGTACCTGTGGAATTTTCTTCTTTTTTACTCTTGCTTCTTTTAAGCGTAATTTTTTTTACTGCATTTAAAACTTAGAAATCTTTACTTGGAAAAGGCATGACCTTTTTTGCTGTCGCATTGTATTAGCAGGAGTCGTTTGGGAAGAAATGCTGCAGTTAGTTCTTTGGAGAAATCCATTTGGAGAAGGATCAAGTAGAATGACCTATGGAGATGTCAACCCTTTCCTAATGAACCCTAATGTGTACTGTACAAGACATTAGATTACAAAATGCATTGCAAGTATTCAAACATTCAAACAGTAATAAGAACTATCAACACTAGTTTATTGATTTTTTTTCTGGCTTGAGAGAATTTATTATTGAGCTGCGTAAAATGTGAGACTGCGGTAGAAAGGTGTCCTTCACAGATGTTGAGGTTTTTGAAGGTAGGCAAATTCATGTTTAATTTTAATCTCCAGCTCACTCATCTGAGACTGTAATATTCATGAACCATGCTCAGGTGACAGTGGTTGAGAGAAAATTCTTAAAATAATGCCAAGGTCCTCTGAGTCAATTCCTTTTCGTGATGATCGGTTAGAGATCTTGTAAATGACCTTGCTGAAAGTACAATAGTTAAGGCTTCTTCAATAACAGACACATTTAGTGAACAATAGTCTCGTAGCTACTTTGAAATCTTGGCTGAAGTGAAGCAGCAAATCAACAAACTGAAATGGGCAACAGCAATGAAGCGGGATTATCGAAACTTGGATATACTGCAGGTACTTTTTACAGCTTTGTCCAAATCTGAATAGTTTGTTATGAAATGGCTGTTTTCTTAAAGGTGGAGTAGAAAGTAGTACATCAGTGGACAAAAGCTACAGTGAGGCTCAGGGGTAGTTTAATGCGGTTGTGGATGTAAAGTGTATTACACATATTAAAGTAGGTATACTGGGTTTGCCAGCAGGTACAAAAGGTTCTGATGCACTTCACCATCCCCTCAGGAATTGAGCAGAGATTAATCCTTCCGAATGACCATGATTCCTAATATACAGACCCTGTGGTGAAAATATATATATTTGGAATGTAGAAGCTGAAGAAACAAAACACCCCTACACAGCATACTGATACAAATTGTGGGAAATGTTTCAGGATATTTGGATTCAATGTAAATCCAACAAAATTGATCATCTATATGGGAGCCTGATAGCAAAATGTCAAGCTCTGTAGAAATAAGAAAGCTTCCCTACTAAATACTCATATACTGACCAATACATTATTCTGTTTTTTTCTACTGAACCCTGAAATGGAGAAGTATATGTTTTAGAATTATTTCCAATATTGCTGTCTTACTTCACATTTTGGCTGGGTTTAGTGTATGTGAATTGTTTCTGTGTGCGCACGCTCTGTGACGGACTGGTGTCCTGTCTGGGGTGAGACACATGTTAGTTTTTGGCTCGATGCAGCCTTTGATAGGATGAAGTGTTTATGGATATTGGTTTAATGAATTTTCGTGGTTTTCTCTCCGATAATTGTACTACAGTATGTTTCTATATTTGTTATTAATATTTCCCTTAATACCTTAAAATAATGATCTGTAATTAAAATGTTTACAATACAAAAAGTAAGTGAACTCCATTAACATTTACATAATTACTTTTACTAAAATGTATATTCCAAAATCTAAATCATAATAAATATCATCTAATAAAAAAAATTGCAAAAAAGTGTTGCAGAGTGTTGTGATTTGGGTCAAATTAGAGTCCACCCTGACACCACCTTATACAGTATATTGCAATATATGTTTATATATAACAATATTATATCCAGTATATGTTTAGCACAGCGTGGTTACAGAGTAAATAAAAATCAACATCGTAAAGGACAAAATTCAGTACAAAACTAACAGTAAGCACAAAACACTGGTTATTTACAGTAAGTGTCATTACCTTGGTTCAGCCTTTTATAGAAAAAAACTCATGGGACTTCAAGATAGATTGTAACACATTCAGGATGAAACATAAATGCGATTAAGGGAAAGTAAAACCATTTCTTACAAAATATGACCCTGCTCAGGGCACGACAGCTCTTGAAACTGATGCTAAACAGGATGGAACCTTTCTCCCTACGCTAAATAAGACACCACCATAAAATAAGGGTGCAAGTTTCTTTTGCTGGCAGATGCGACAAAAGGAATTATTTTTACATCAAAATCAATTGTTCAGTTTACTATATTTAAAGCAACTTAATTCCTGGTGGGTTTCTGTCCAAAAGAAAGGGTCTCAACCTCTGGATGTCTGGCCTGCATAGGCTGACACATGCTTGCTGTGATGCTCCTTTGTGACTCAGGTGAAAATGAGAATCCCAGCCTTCACCGTACAGTAAATACTGAGTGGATCTCCAGGGCTGGTGGTTTTGACACCACTCCTCCTGCCTGTGTCTTTATACTGTCTCTATTCTGTTACTGTGATGTCTTTACAGGTAGTAGGGACCAATTATGCAAAGCGTGTCATCTTGGCTTATTGTCATGCAGCCTATTTTTAGGCAAACTATGCACTTGAGTAAAGAATTGAAACCGTGCTTTTTAAATATAAATCAGTTCCATGTAATTGCAATTTAAGTGCATCTATTTTTTGTTCATGGTGACAGTAACAGCCACCAACATAAACAAAGGTGGAAAATAACATAGCATGAGATTATATATACAGCATATATTCAAGATTACATGATAAAACAAGCAATCTTCCTTCTGTGTCTGTACTCTGTATTTCAATTTTTTCTGAAAAAGGTTGATCAAAGAACACGAGTAAGGTACATAACGAGAAAAGAACAGGTTTTTATAGCAGAGGCTTTGGTAGCCTGAAAAAAAGACCAAACAAATTCTATGCTTTCCAACAAAGCTTTTGAAATTAGACTTTTAGGTCAAGTTCATTCGCGTGGCCTTGTTTCAGGCAGAACGTCCTGTAAGGCTGTTTAAAAATACAACACATATAAACATTTTTTTCCAAAGAAAGCATATGGATGAGAAACTTGTTACTATAATGTGATCACTCGCATAGGCTGTCGAACTTCAGGAGGTGCAAATAGTCTTGTTTCCCTGGTACTGGAGTGAGGATTTTGAATGACCGTCTTAAAAAAAGTCTGTTTTTCTTCGACATGCTCTGTTGGCTGTTCTCACACACACAGGCAGAGCTCCTGGCGTTAGCCCGGGACCGTTCTACAGCTCCCAGCACCAAGAGGCCTTGTCTTGCGAGTCCACAAGGACTAATTGAGGATGGGGTTGAGGATTATCTCTGCTGGATTCCTTTTTATATTGGGATGTGAACCAATTGAGTCAGATTAATAAGAGAAGGCACTGGATGTGGTTGTTCTGTGTCAGGGTTAGGAATTCTTTAGGGTTTCATCATTGTGATTGTGGAATGTTCTGGAAGGTGGGACTGCATTTCCTCTAGCAAGGGGTCTGACCCTAAGGTCTGCTACAGTAGGTGTGTGCAAATCTTCCCCACAATCTGAGATGTTAAATGTCAGATTTTGTATTTTTTCAGCTAATTTTAATTTGTCTCTTAAGGTGTAATTTCATGAAAGTGATCAAGGGTTTTTATCCTTCCTGTGTTTTGATGTATCATTTTTTTTTAAGGTCAGGGAATTTTATTCTTCCCACTTTTCCCATCCCATTCCCTTTGGGTCGCTTTTATCAAACAACCCTCACAAGAGGATGGTACGATTGGTTGTGTCTAGAATAACCATTCGATGTTTTTCCCAAAAAGCAAAAGGAATTCTGTTTAAACCAGCATATTATGGGACATTTCCAGAGGTACTGTAGAAACTTACTTTTGTTTCACAAGGTGATTCATTTAACCCTTGAAATGAAATGCAGTATTTGACTTTGACCCACACTCTTAGACCAGTCATGTCCTTGATGTTTGTTGATTCATTTTGTTCTATACTCAAAAAGGACAAGCAAGGTAGTTCCAGACTGTCTCATTACGCCTGCAGCCTGGAACTCATAAGGTTATAAGAACTAAGAAGCCCTACTGAAACTGGAAGAAGAGAAGCAAACAGAAACATAAGAAAGGTTCAAAATGTAATGAGGTAATTCAGCCAATTTAGCCCATTTGGTAGTTATTAGTTAATTGATCAGATTGTTATGTTCTGAAAGAAACCAGGATATTGACTTCAGCCACGTGACTGTGAAGGTTGTTCCACACTCCCACAACCCTTTGGGTAATGAAGTGCTTTGTGTTCTCTTGTTTTAAATGAGCTTCCATGCAGCTTCTCCTTGTTCTTCCCTCTCATTTGTGTTCACTGTTGATTCTGAAAAAGTCCACAGGGTTGAATTTGTCAGTGCTTTTGAGGGTTGTGAATACTTCCAGTACCATCATGATCTTCTGTTTTCAAGAATAAAGAAAGTTCAGGTCTTTCTTCCTGTCAGGCTCAAATCCAAATGTTTTCTCTTCTGCCTCCTGTATCTGGTGAAACCGATCACATTTCCAAGCTTCCAGTTCAAAAGTGGACTTTTTAAGTGAGCTTTTTAATAGCATTTACAGTAAGCCATGTGTGAGTCTTGGTCAGACGTACTTAAAATGCTATAATAGAGGAGGAAAATTGCCATAAAAATTAAACCAGTGCACTTGTTTTTATTTATGAAGTCAAACCCATTGCTTTGCAAGTACATTGTATAAATTGACAGTAATGGATATTGATTAGAATTACACTGTAGAACGCTTGGATGATTGTAAATTGAAGTTTTTAATTTCAATTCACATCCGTGCCAAGCATGGCATAGGTAATCGATGTTTTTTTTTTGCTTTTGCCTGCAGTTTCCATCTTTTCCTCTCATAATTCTAGCAAAGTGTGAATGTCAAGGAT